GGACAGGCAAGAGGCCTAGTTTGAAGAACATACACATTTGAGGATGTCCAGTTGAGGTAAGACCTTATAAGCCAAATGACAAGAAATTGGACGTAAGGACCATCAGTTTCTATTTTATTAGATATTCTAAAAGGTCTAGGGGTTGCAAGTTTTATGATCACACAACTAAGGTAATTTTCGAGACAAGAAATGCCTGGTTCTTTGAAGATGTTGAGTTTGCAGGGGGAGAAAGGATTATAGGCTTTGTCTTTGAGGAGAGATATTTTGAAATTCCTCTAATTGCCATTGACAATGATCAGATTTTTATCCCTCACATTGTTCGAGAATCAACTCAGGATCAAGACAATGTCATTGTATCTCTCTCTCAAATTCAACAAATTGTTCCAGAAGAACAAACTCCGCAGTCTCAAGAGCCAAATGCCATTAAGAAGATTTGTCAGAGAGAGGAGAAATGCGATTTCGGATAATTATATTGTATTTCTTCAAGAACATGAAGTTGACATTGGAGTGGTGAAAGATGATCCGACCTACTTTCATCAAGCCATGGAAGGTTCTAACGCTAAAAAATAGCTGGATGCCATGAATGAAGAGATAAAATCAATGAAGGACAATGACGCGTGAGGCCTCGTTCCATTGCCTGAAGGTGCGAAACTCATTGGTTGCAAATCGATATTTAAGACCAAGAGAGACTCGAAGGATGATGTAGAGATGTATAAAGCCCGTCTTGTCGCAAAGGGCTTTATATCGAAAGAAGACATTGATTATAAAGAGACTTTCTCTCATGTTTCTTCAAAAGACTATTTCAAAACTATAATTGCATGGTAGCACATTTCGATCTTTAGTTACATTAGATAGATGTTAAGATAGCATTTCTCAATGGTGACATTGATGAAACTATTTATATGGTACAACCAGAAAATTTCATATTGGATGATGCAAAGCAAATGGTTTGTAAACTAAAGAAATCCATTTATGGACTCAAATAGGAGTCTGGTCAATGGTATTACAGTTTCATCAAGTGATCATCTCATTTGGTTGTGAGATGAATTTGGTAGATGATTGTATAGCCACAAGTTCAATGGGAATAAAAAAATTTTATCTGTCGATGACATGTCGCTTGCCAGCAATGATATACGCTTACTGCATGAAATCAAGAGATTTCTAGCAAAGAACTTTGAGATTAGGAATTCAGATATACCGAGATTGTTCTCGGGTCATTCTTGAATTATCACAAAAGAGCTATATCGAAAAGGTAATTAAAAGATATGACATTAAAGATTGTAAACCGGGTAACACATCCGTGGCTAAATTTAAGTCAATGCCCCAAAAATGACTTAGAAATAAAAAAAAAAGCAGAAAATTCCTTATTCTTTAGCTATAGGGAATTTGATGTATACTTGGGTTTGTATACGTCTGGATATAGCATACATTGTTGGGATGCTATGAAGATATCTGAAAAACAACCAAATAGGTCATGCGGTATTTACAGAGAACAAAAGACTACATGCTCATAAATAAGAGATCGGATCAGTTGGAGATCATTGGTTATTTTGATTCCAATTTCACGGGATACAAGATTGTAGGAGATCTACTTCAGGATATATCTATTTGCTTGTTGGAGATGCTATTTCTTGGAAGTGTACTGAGTAAACACTCATAGCTACTTCCACCATAGCAGCGGAGTTTGTAGCGTGTCATGAGTCATCAAACCATGGAATATAATAATAGATAAAAATATCGCAAATAGAGCCAATGGACACCCATCAAAGGAGTCGTTCTCTACCCTGGAGCTACTTTACCATATTTCAAATTCAATGATTTTAATAAACTTCCTACAGTAGTTCGTCTTGTCAGGAGTTTCGAATTTAATATCGATATTTTAGCAACAAATCCAATAAATCTAAGTGTATTGATCTTTTTTTGGAAAGGAAGTGTGTGTGAGTTATTTATTTCAAAAATAGGCTGGATCCAACTAATGAAAAAGGGATAGGATAAATATTTGGGGAGTTAAATAGGCTTTTTGGGAATATAAGGACTTGAACCCTCACAATTTTTAAAGTCGACGAATTTTTCCTTTTTGTCATTAGGCTACGTACTATGGACAGTATAGAAAAACTGCTCAAGTTATTTTGTGACAATAAATCAGCAGCGCTGTATTCCAATAACAACAGGAACTCGAAGAAGTCGAAACATATAGAGATCAAGTTCCTGGCTATTAAATAAAGAGTTTAGAGTGGACGAGAATCAGTAGAGCATACCGAGACAAACTCCATGGTTGCGGATCTGCTTACTAAGGGATTAATACCTAAGGTCATTCATGAGAACACTGCTCATATGGGTGTAATAGCTCTTGAGGATGTCTAGTTTCTGTGGGAGTTTGTATTTTCGCTTTTCATATTAGACACATGTACTGTTATTTTGTATATAGTTTATGGTTAAAGTTGTTTTTGGTTATAAAGTTTTTTTTTTTTTTTTTGTTGGTTTGTTATCTCTGAACTTGTTTGAAAATGTTCTCATTAAAGTAGGCCAGTTGGAAATAGGCATGTTAAGATCACATTACATGTAATTTTCATACTACACATCCATGCTTGATCCATGTCATTCAATTATATTGATATATGTGACCATTGATGGGTTTAGTTACGATGAAAGTAGCAAAAATCGCTTTGATCCTATGTTAATATAATTGATCGACCAGATTGTTTGAGGATGCATTCAGTAATGATAGCAAAATTCTGAATACACATAAGACTATGTTTAATGCATAATTATAATGTGATACATATAGCCCAAATGGGAGATTGTAAGAATTTTTTAATCGATCATGTAGGCTTATATGTAAATTATTCTGTATTAAATAAAGGCTATGAAATTTGGTTAAGCCCGTTTAAAGTGATATAATAAGGCTTCAGTATTTTGGGCTTTAATGCATCTAATTAAAGTGTGTGCTTTTGATAAGACATGAAATATCGTGTTTTACATTCATTAATACTTGTATTTTTGTGATTAATTAATGCATAAATATACTCAGTGCCCTTATATTTTGATTTAGGTTGTAAATGGATGAAAAATATGGAGTTTGGAAGAAAAGAACGAAAACGGATCAAAATGGGAACAAGTGAAAGTTCGAGGACCAAGTTGCAAATAATCCATAGATGAGATGGTGATGGAATGAAGATTCAAGAGTGTTAGGGGTCAATCGGAGGAGAAAAGAAGTCAAGGAGATGAAATATAGTCTAAGTGTTAACACATATCAACTTTCAGGTGAAAAAGTTACATTCCAGATTTCTAGCCTCTGTTTGAGACATATTTTTGGCATAGAAAACTTGTGAATTGGAAAATTTCTATCTCTAGCAAAGTTTTATTCCTTTTCATTAATTTCCAACACAATTTGAATCACATCAATCGAATATCAGGAGAGAAAGTTATGATCAAAATACTAAAAACTGTCCGACAGAGAATGCGAAATAACTATGCGGCCGCATAGCACAAAACCATGCAGTCGCAAGAGAATTTGAAGACTGAAAATAGTTGTTCTATGTGACCTCAACCATTTGAACTATATGGTCGCATAGTTCATCTCTTCCCAAATTTCATCCAAAACCTAGAGAATGCCCCCAAACCTAATTTTTTCTCCATTTGCTCTAGAATTGAAGATGTGTAACTAATTCTCTTATGCTTGAATGCCTTGGAATAATTATAACTGTGAGATCCACTTGATTTTTATCATTTAATTCATATGTTCAGTATTAAATATTCTTCTGCATGTATTTTTATAGTTGTTGTATTTAATTGCCAGGATGCATACTAGTTTATTATTCTCCACAATCTATAGCTAAGTTAAATATTAAATCCGTAATTGTTTGATAATTTAACTTGTGAAGCAACTAGAATTAGTAATTTCCTGCTTTGAAAATTATTAAATCTTATGGAAAATATTTATTTAGGTTAAATGCAACCGCGTGTACTTGTGTTATCTAGTTCATTGATTTCTCTAGTTCATAAATCAATTATTGAATCAAACCTTCGCGCTTGTCTAGGATTGTTCGATAATTAGGATTAATTAGATCGCTTGTTTCTAATTAATTAAAACTAAGGAGAAATAGGAAATTGTTTCGAATGGAAAATTGTTTTTTAAAATGAATGTTAAAATTGTGAATTGATGATTATTTATGGATCAATGACCAATTATAAATTTCCAATTGTGGATGTTGACTTAGATCAAGATTCGTTTTACTTATCTCATCCAATTTATTGATTTTCATTGATATTAGTGTTCTTCTTAAGAATTAATTATTTCAAAAATCAAAACTCCCATTTTAATTAATCTAGCATAAAAAATAAGCTACTCACTATTCGTGGGATCGACCTCTTACTTCCACTACTGCATTAACTTTAAGAAGTATATGTTTTAATTTGGAGTGTCTATGATAACACGCACCAAATTTTACAAGTAGAGACCAAGCGATTGTTAAAAAATGGTTGCGAAAGGCCTTTTGCAGTGTTTTACCGTATGTTGCAAACCTCGATATTGCCGTAAAGTGAACGGTACAACAACTTTTTTTCGCAGCGAATAACTTTTTCAAAACATTTTTTTCGCGTTGCGAATAATCTTTTTGCAACATTTTATGAATGTTGCCAATAACCTTCACAACGTTTTTTTCAAGTTGCAAATAACCATTTCCCAACGTTTTTTGAACGTTCCCAGTACCTTTTTCGAAACTTTTTTTTCGCGCTGCGAATAACCTTTTCGCAATGTTTTTTTACCGTTGTCAATGCTTATATCCATATTTTTTGCAACACTTTTTGACCTTTGCTGTAGGTCATTTTCTGGTGGACTTTTTTTTTTTTCAATTTTTTATTTGTACAACAATTTACATAAATCAAAAACAAAACATGATAAAGATAACAATATCTTACAACTCCAATAATAATTATTAATTGAACTCCAAAATGTAACAATATTTGTACAAAATTCAAATCCAAAATTCTAAAGCACCTAAAAACCTAATACATTTAAAAAAAAAAAAAAAACAACAACTACAACAACAAACACAACAATGAGTAAAACAGCCTCATCGGCTTCCATAATTTTCTTTTAAGCAATCTTTCACACGAGCTTAGCCTTAAGAACCACCGGCTTATTTTTCGACAAAACTCCATTGTCCAAAGCCTTAAAGTACTTGAACCATATAACATCAATCACGAGCACTTTTCCCTAATGACGGAACTATTTTTGAGGCATTGAAGAAATTGAGCAATTAATCAAATGGCAAGCCTGAGAACATAAAATATAAATTTATGCATGTACGGAGACCAAAGAAGCGAGTAAATTAATTTTTTTTACAACTGTATTTCCTCTTAACAATGCAACTAATTAATTCCACAAAAAGTAAAGAAGAGGTTTTTAATTTTTACTCTTCCATGTATCCCACTTTTAACTATAACCAAATGAACTTCAGTAACTATTTCAGGAAATATGATAAATAACACTTAAATGGACAAAACCTATTGAACAATGACTTACATGAAACAAAAAAGTACATTATGCTACTTTTAATATGTAGCATAAACCAAGTTAGTTAATATAAAATTATCAATGTTGAAACAAATGTGAAATAGATACATACCAAGTTAGTTTATATAAAAATATAAGTTGACAAGTTTACACAGACCCTCCATATGCAACTAGAATTTAACTTATTTGCAATAAATATGAAATAGTGAATAATGAAGGGGTATTTTTCTATTTCTCCTTTTCTACTTCAAAACATTTTTAGCAAAAAAAGTGATGATGAGCTGTATTCATCCTCTCATCTGTCAGCTATTATCAATGATTTATTCGAATTCATTTCTCAAGCACTTTAGGCACAATATAAAGACTTTAGACACAATGTCTTTTAAATGCTTCATGTATTTTTCCAAGAATCAACCCACCACATTCAAATAGCGTGGTCAATTAAGAAGAGATTTCATCTACACATTACGCATCCGAAGAGAAAATAGTTCCTCCAATCTGGTAAACTTGCCATTATTTTCACAAAGGAAACATAGACATGTGCTATTTCAATTTTAATGAACGCAAATAGAAATAAAGCTGGTAAACTTGCCATTATTTAAGATTGACCAAATAGAAATAAAATTGGTTACAACCAAAGAGACATTACAATTTTAATATAACTAAATTTGAGCATAGTATAACTTTCATCCAGAACACAAAAACTAGCACAACCAAATGCAGTGAATGTGTGATAATATACTAGAAAAACATCCTTTTCTTTTCCTTTTGGAAGGGCACAGAGTGTATGCAGACGAACAAGGAAGTTCCAAAATAAAAAAATCATAAAGAAGATGGGCCAACAAAATACACATAATATTAGCAAAGCATGACTGCATGAAACACCAATATGTCAAGTAGGATAATGCACTTCAGTACTCAGTGCTTCCCCAAAATTTGGAAATACCCTATGCCAGGCACTTGGCCACAACTATGGTGGTCCATTCCATTCTGAATTATCTATGATGTGGTTATAATTAATATGATTTATACTCAAGCTTGATAAAGTAACCAAGTCCAGTAGTATGTGTCAAAATTTGGTTAAATCAATGATAGAAGAAAAAGATGCAGGAAGTGTGAAAGATTACTAATCAACAGTGAGCACATTACTCTTTTTCCAAATTGTTGTTTAAGAACAATAATCCTCTGCACATTTGAAGGTTAAATAAATTTGAAGAAAATTTGAAAAAAGAAAAAGAAAAAAAGTACCAGTAGCTATTGCTGAAGCAGTGGCTAGTTTTAATTCAAAGAAAGCCATGTAGAGATTCAAATTCATAAATAAACTAATAGTTTGCACCAGATTTCCAGAACACTGGTGGAACAAATAGCACAACTTTATTGTGGGCATTTGCTTTGTCGAAAATGAAATAGCAGCCATTTTATACATAGATGCAAATAGAAAGAGAAGAAAAAGGAAACTTACACCAAAAAGAGATTTCCTTAAGCTATGAAGCCCCAATACCACCTGAAGAAAAAAATCAGCACAAAAAAATCAGTCCTAATAAATAATTTAAGCAAAACACTTGGGAGATTTTAGATTGCTTCTAAATCCAAAAAACACACAATTTTCACCGGAGGGGGTTTCTAAAATAGCTTTTTTAAGTCAGTCTACATCAAAGTTTAAAATAATGGATCAACAATATACTCTTCGTCTGCAGCCTAATCCAAAAGTAATATATTTGAAGTAACGTTCACTTCGAAAAACAGAGTACAGTAATCTGATGATGCTCACCAGCCAAAAACCAGCAGTGACATAGGAAGGAAACATTGACTTCACAAAGGATGGATAGTCAGACTCTAGGCTTGACTCAAGCTCCTCTGCTTTCTTTATAGAACATTCTCTATATTCATCTGATGCATACACCCGGTTCGAGAGGTTCCGGGTCCGATTGGTAACTCTACAAATGCATTAACCTAATAAAGAACATGTTCTACACAATAATTGCATTGATAACAAATTAAATTAATGCGCTAGAAATTTTTAAACACAATTTGCTAGGATCTTACCTTCTGGCAGAGTTAAAAAAAGGCCTAAAAAGAGAGCCACTATACTTCTTTGTAAGTCAAATAAGTGCACGTTAGAGAGATACCAGTGAGGGTTTGGGAGATGATGAGTTCTTGAGGGCGATAGAGAGCTGAGAGAGATTGAGTTCTTCAAGTCTTTTCTTGTTCTCTTCCAATCTTTGCTCGTGTAAGGCCTCATATTTCACTTGGGACATCACCATTTTTGCCTTTTCCTTTCGATTTTGGAGATTTAAGAAGAGTTGGAGCAGCTAGAGAAACAATCTTCACTTCTCCTTTACTGGGAGTAGGTGGCTGGCCGGAGGTGCAACTAACGCACTGTCGTGAAAGTGGCCGACGCGACAGTGCAGTCAGGATTGAAAAAAGGGTCGACATGTTATGATTTATAAAAGAGTGAAGAGTGAACGGAAGGGAAGAAGTAGAGAAGCAGCCTAACTACCTAAGGGAGTAGTCATTGCCGTTGCCATCGCTTGTTCGGTTGGAGAAGAGAGGCGAGAGGTGGTTGCTGTTGGGAATCTACTTATACATGCACAGCGGAAAATTAAATTATTTCGATTCCCATCCAATAGATCTCATTGTGTTTGGTTAGGAATTGTGATAAGATTGTACCCTTTCCAGATCTGCAATCCTTTTGCTTTTCTTTTCGTTCCACAACTTTGATTCGCCACCACAGCTGTCCAATTGTCCAGCCTCCAAAGGTGATCCACACAGAGAATATGATTGCAACCTCTAGGGTTTTCTCTTGTGCTAGCAAGAATAATGAAAATCTTAATGGACCTCAAACCCTAGTTATGTATTTATATAAACCCAAACAGGCTCGGCCCGGTCCGGTCCAATAATTAATTAATCCAATTAATTAAACCCGGTCCGTGAATTAATTAATCCAATTAATTAATTCGAAAATATAAATAACAAATCCAATTAATTAATTTATCCAACGATTGTTAAATTAATCAATTGGCAATTTGCAATCTTCCAATTCTCTTTTGTGTGTGACCCATTAGGTTCCCGACCACGATGCCTAACGACGTGAAATATTATTTTGATCTAATCAAAATTGATAAATTAAAACACTCTTTTAATTTATCGTCAATTCACATTCGCCGTCCCTGATTGACATCTAGCAATGTGTCAGGGCAATACATGTGACGGGAAATGTCACGTGGTATGACAAAA